GCTGTGGTAGTCATCTGTGGAGAGGGAAGGCATCTTGTTGCTAGTTAGCCTAGCGGTTAGCACCTTTCCAGGCTATTGAGGCTGCTCGGTGCCCAGACGCTGTAATCAGGCTTCAGCTGTGTCTAGGCCACAGACACACGGAGCGCTGAGGACAAGGTAACCATAAAATGTTGCTGTTTCTGTTAAGAACACTCTAGTCCTAATGATCTACAAGTGTCCAGAAGTTATCGCAGGTAAGCTCACACGGAAAAAAGGGAAAAAATCAGCATAAAAATCAATAAAAATCAATATAAGAAGCAAAGCATTCAAGAGCAAAGAGATGAAGCTAAACTTCTAAGAACCTCTCTACTACAAAACAATATTCCTGCTCTCAGTTTGCAAACCCAACCAAGTAAAGTTGCTTCATATTCCCATGTGCATTATTTATCTGAATTTAAAGATATTTTAAATCATTTTGTTAACGCTTGCTTCGGTATTGTTCTCCATACTGTGCGAAAGTCTCAAGCCACCCCTCATTTCTTCATATTTTAAGAGGAAAATTCGAATTAGGTGCAGTGAATTATTGAAATGTGGAAATATGTCACTATTTAGTATAATCACCTTTATCTTTCAATACTCTGAGGCAAGCTTTCTCTAAGCAGTCTTCAGAAATAGTCCTCAGGGCTTCTTGCAGGACATTCAGAGATCTTCTTTGGATGTCGGTTCCCTTTTGTCCCATTCTCTGTCCCACACTGCTTCAGTATCTGGGCTCTAGGGAAGTCAGTCCATCGCTGTGTTTTTTTTTCCTATCCAGATATGCTTCTGCTGGATTGTCAGTGTGTGTTTGTGTTTCCAGAAGCTGGAAACTGATGGTGCTTTTCTGCATTTAAAATTTTGACAAGATCTCCAACACCACTGGCTGAAAGGCAGCCCCAAACCATGGAGAGCCTCCACACTGTTTTAAAGATGTATCTCTGTCCTGATTTCCTCTGTACATTTTTGTTTTTTACTCCAATTCCTGTGTAATTTGGCATTATTCAGTATTACATCCCTGTTTCCCTTTCTCTGAGACCATTTCTGGTAAGGTTTCAGTGAACAATAGATGGATCAACTGAAGGGATGCATCTCTCAGGTCCTAAATCAGGTATTTGCTAAAATTGTTCCTACTCTTAAGCAACTTCATGGACTGTTTGTGTGCTGTAGATTGTCTTTTAGGTCTGCCATTTCTTCCTTTTTCCTCCACTTGTTCAGTTTCCTCCAATTTTTTTTTAAGAACACTCTGCACAGCATGCTGAGGTTTGCCAGGTTTTCAGTTTTATGCCTGTCAATTTGTGTTATCCTTGATTTTATTTTTTATAGATTCAAATAAAGAAACAAATGACATCTGGTTTTTGTGACAGGCTGCTATCCAAAGACCTTCAGAAAGCCTGACGAACTACTGCTCAACACCACTTAAAAAATAATAATTTAATAACTCTTTATAAATGTAAACGGTGTTTTGTGTGTGTGCCTTTTTCAATATTGCAATGCAAGAGCTCACACAATAATCAGAAAATATAAAGTAATGTTCGTGGCTATTAGTTCAATTAACAAATATTTCTTTTTATAAATTTGAAGGAGTAAAAGTGTCACATGTTTCACAGGGAAACGTGAAAAAACTGAATCCAGAAATCTATCTTGATCTCAAAACGAGAATTATTGGGCCATTTTATAGTCCTGATGTAAAACATGAGCACTGGATGTATCTCACCCATATACCATATATAAGAGGAACCTACTTCATATGTGAGAGGCCCCATACAGAGCGGTCGAGCTGAGTTCTGGTGGTGGCCTCATGGGAAGTCGTGGTCGGGCATCAGTGTCTGGAGGCGGGTGGATGCCAGGCCGAGGCGGCGGGACGGAGACGAGACCTCCCTCTGCTGGGGCATCGCTGCGTCTCACGGTGCGGGTAGCCGGTGAAGATGCTGTACGCAAGGAGGGGAGGGGGGGCACAAACAGACCACCACATGCTGTCAGGTCACTTGAGGTTATCAGCAGCCAAAACACATTCTCATCTGAACGCTGAGACATAAGATCAATATATGATTCATCAGTTTCTTCTCAGCTGTGGGCAGTGCTGGTGTGATTTTTGTAGCAGACACCTGGGAGACTGGACCAAATCTGCACTAACAATAGTGTAATACACACATATATATTTTACTATCGATTATGCCCGAGGCTGATGAGGAAAATGGAAGCTATTGTTGTGGCGCTCACAGACGTGAGAGGCAGATCTGAGCGCCTCAGCTGTAAATAGACGGCTCCCCCTGCGCCTTGGATGTGACTTGTCCTCTCCTCATGGCTGAAAAGGGAAGCAATGTGGAAAAGCTCGGCGCAGAGCAAGCCAATTATAACATTACTCACTGCCTTGCGCTCAATTTCCCGGGGAGGTCCCTCAAAAAGACAAGACAAGCCTCCCTCTCCGATTCCGCTGACATATTTTTGTTTACAACAAGAGACAACCGCATTAACACCCTCAAGGTACCGCATCGCCCAATGAAATCCAGGCAAACGACACTCATCTAAAGCTGCAGCGGCAAGTGCCATGCTATTCTCTTGGATTCTGTGATGCATTTATAGGTTACGTAAGGTGAATGTGTGTTCATGTGAAATTAATGTCCCAAACGATGCTGGATGCAGAGCCGCTGGTTTCCCCTTACGGTATATATTTTTTTAATTTATTTTTAGAAAAATATATATATAATTTTTCCTCTCTCCCCCCCACCCCCTGAGTGGGACCACGGCAGCTGACGCCTGCTGTAAATCATATCGCGGTAACAAAAGATGCCGTGTGTTAAAATATCATCTCCGCGCAGCCAGCCTCGAGCGATCCCCTTATGGTTGTGCCATTAGAGTTAATTCCGCAATTCAAAAAAAACAACCAAGAGAGGGAAAAAAACTCACCCCTTCTTTGTGGTTTATTGTCCTGTCAAGCGGGCCTCTGCGCCATCGATTCTCACTCAGTGGTCTTTTCAGATGCTAAAAGGAGGAGAGGGGGTGGCGGTGGATGGGGTAGGGTAGGGTGGGATGGAGGTGGGAAGGAGGAGGGGTGCGGATGGGGGGTACCGGGGTGGGTGTGAGAAACAGACTGGGAGAGCCGATCACAGCACAAAGGTGGAGAGGAGGAAAATACAGCTGAGAGGAGACAAGTATCCAGATTCAGCGGCGCGACTGCGGGAGGAGGCTGACCGCGCTGTGCGCTCCGCCAGGCGGCAGACGCTTCAGATGTGTCTGCGCTTCACCGCGGAGCTCCCTCATCCCGATTACTGAGGCTTTTCTTGCATTATATGCATCTTTTAGTCACTCGCTTCTGATATTTGTAATACATTTGTAGGTCACAATTGTAAAGAAAAAGAAAATCAATGTTTGGACATGCCATGTGCTACCTAAAGGAGGAAGACATAACTACGGGAAAGTAAAGCAAGCTGCATTCGTGTAGGACTTTATGGTGTTAAGGAAGAAGAAAGTACAACAAGTGCTAACAGAAGATGAGAAAACATTAGCAAATAATGCTCATAAATAAAATGACTGAGGAAATAGTTTTTCGTTTTTTAAAACTATTTCTGCTGCAAAGAGGGTTGCTTAATCACGCACTGTTCAAGAGATCAAGAGAGGAGAAAGTGGAAAAAATGAGGGGAAAAAAGAGAAAGGAAATTAAAGAAGGTGGAAAAAGATTGAATGTAGGCCACATATAACCAGAAATAAGAAAGAAAAAAAAAAGAAGTCTGCTTAAGTATGATCCATGGAAAAACACACACATACACAAAGAGTTATTTGTCTGTGAAATGAGGGATAACTCCAAAGCAAACTAACATAATTAGTCACAGTTTTCAAAAGTTATGCACTAAACTGCCAAAGGAGAATGAGTGTAAGGGGAAAAAATATCAGTGAAGAAGGAAGCTTTTTCTTCGAAACCGTATCCCCATTTATTCTGAAAGGATACCAAACTGTTTACCACTGGACCGAGTCATTAAGGAGCTAATTACAGAGTGCAGCAAGAGTCTGTTTAACTTAAGTCTACGAGATGGTAGCGATACCTGCTGTGATGTATAGCTTGTAGACGGTGCTGACAAAAAAAGATAAGAGGGCAGAGGTGAAGGTGCTTAAAATTTTCATTTGGAGTGAACAGAATGGGCAAGATTAGAAATGAGTACATCAGACGGACAGCTCAGGCTGAGAAGTAGGAGACAAAGTTAGACAGACAATACTGGACATAGGATGTTGAAGGTGGATGTCAGGCAGGAGAAAAAGCAGAAGACCACAGAGAAGATTCACAGATGTAGTGGAGGAGGACATGGAGAGGGTTGGTGTGACTGAAGAGGATGCTGGATAATGTGAGATGGAGGCTCTATTAAGGCTGAAAAATAACTCCAAGCTATTCATTAATTCAGTCCCTGCATCTAGTTGGGCCAAGTCTCACCTCTAATAATAATAACAAAGAAAAAAAAATCATGTAAATCAGTCCGTACTTTTTGAAACCCCCTTTTTTTAAACACAGAGCTTATTTGCTTTGTTAAGCTTATTTGCTTTTGTATTGTTGAGCCAAAACTGGAAGCCTCACAACATGCAGGACTGAAAGGCAAATTATCATTCTCAGCAGCACGTTTCTACATTTGACAAATTGATAGCAGAAGGGAGAGGGGCAGAATAAATAGTGCAGAAAATGAGGAACAAGGCAGTAAAAGAACGCAATTACAAAAAAGAATAATGTAAACAGAAAAGCAGCGGCAAAAAGGGGAAAACTTCACGAGTACTTTAAAGTCAATCACTATTAGCACTTTTCTACAGCTGGCATGCTGTTCAAGAGGGAGTGTAGATGAAAGACACATAAAACTAGTAAGAAAACAAAAAATTCCACTAAAGGAAATACAACAGAGATAAAAAATAAATAAATAAATAAAAGATGAGCAAAATTCAATTCAAGAAAGAAGAGACAGAACACAGAAATACAGAACATAGGACAATAAGACGAGAGTCTTGAGTTTTGCTATTTAAAGGGAAACTTTATTAAGTCCAACAATAAAATACAAAATACATCCCCCCACATGAGATGAGAAAAAAAAAAGTCAAAAACTTCTGAAAACAAGTTACTTAAAACTTTTAAAACAAGTTCAAGACAGGAAAAATAATTCTGATCCCCCCCACTCTCCACCTCCTCAGAAGCTTCACTGCGCTGCCTGCTGAGCCTGACGCCGCAGCAGCACGTAGATCTTCTCTTTGATCCAGTCCTTGTTGTACGGCTGGTACGTCTGCGTGTCAGCACGATACCTGAGGCAGCACCAAAAATTAAATTCAGTTTCAACGTTTTTCTTCCCCCCCCCCCTCTGGTTGGCCCAGGATCTTCAGTTTTTTTAATGAAAACATGCAACTCCTTATTTTTAAAAACACCCAACATGAGCAAATAAGTGACCTAAGTAGCGACTGTTCTTCTAGATTTGTCTTTTTGCGAGCTGCGATTAGCTCAGAGGAACTCAGAGTAATCTTGCCTGAATAAATGAGCTTGAACTCCCCAAATTAAGAATAACAAATTGCCCTAAATCACCTGTGGGCAGGTTATTGCAGCTGGCTTGTTCTACATCTCTATAAAGCTTGATGTGGTTTTCACTCACTGCCACGAGCATTAAAAAAATATTAATAGAAACACTGATGCTGAGATGTGCCCGTTCCTGCCAAATGCAGCAGAAAAAAAAGCTGGAAACAAGCTCTTTTTAGAAGGCAAACTTACTGCTAAAGACTTTGTTTCAAATCAAACTGTGTTAGAAAACTGCTGGAAATATCCCTGCAGGGTTGCTCTATGAATTATATACATGTTTTGGCAGCTTTGTGATGGAGAAATCTAAATGAAGGAAATAAGAAAACCCAGCAGATGACAAAAAGATTGAGAAAAAAAGGACTGTCATTGATTTGTCATCATCAAAAGATATGGGTTCTAAATAATTTGAGGACAGATTTTAGCTCAAGGAGGGGCTGATCTGTTTTTCTTTAAAAATACAAAACATCAAGTGTGCCATTATAACTGTAATATCTTTTTTTTTTTAAGTCTGTCAACATTGCTCATCTAAATTCTTACACCTGAAGGGTGTACAATGAAATGAGATTAATAGGTTGGACAGTTATTTTCTATGTCGCGGGTGGCTCTCTTTTTACCTGGTTAAATCGCCATGATAACTTATGCTGAACACATAACCTGGGGAGCAGGTTTGGTTTTAAAATAGTGTGAAAGTGACATGTTTTCACTGATTCTTTTACTTACAGCATGCTGTAAGCACAATATAGATCCTTTGCTGGAGAAATAAGTTTATATGTGCATTTTGTTAAGCTGAACCTAAAAACAGTAAATAAAGTGCAAACTGGACACCACATTGTCATGGAAATGCACTTTTATTAATTTTGCGATGCATAAATTACATAAATGTTGTTATATTCGGTCCTAATCTGCGGTTAAGCCTCATTTAGCCTGGTGGAACTGCAGCTACTAAAATACAGAACACACAGCAAGAATACCTGTTCAATCAAAAAAAATTATTTCACTTTGATATGCCGAGAAACTAAAGTGATTTCTACATCTCCTCTATCAGGCTGTGGGACAGTAGCATTTAATATGTTAATGTATCTGGTTAAAAGTTTTAGAGCTCTAATTTGCTGCTATCACTTTAGAATAAACAGCATCCCTGAGAGCGCACTCAGAGATAAAATAATTAACTTGAATTAAAACACATTTCACTGCTCTGTGTGATGAATCCAGAGATTAACGAGCTTCTGCAGTATTCATCTCATTTCTTAATCACTTGTCTTATTGCCCCAAAAAGTTGATTCTGTTCATTTGGCTGTACTGTTTTCGGTGGGTGAAATGTCACTCATCCAAGCGACTTCTTCAGTCTCAGTCTCTTATAAACAGTAAATTTGCATAATGACTTAAACTAGCACCACTGATGAATGATGGGCTGTGAGGTTTGAAAGCCACAGAGATGTGGTGTCTAGAGAAAATGCATCTAAACTCTTCCGATACTCCTGACACACAAGGGATCACTAAAGATTTTCACTTAGGTAGCACTTGTCCTTCATCCTTCCTGGACTACCTGGAGCATAACACATCCACAAACATCCCCAAAACATGCCGCGCTAAAAATTGGTCCACCACAAGGATCCGGTCCCCCGACACAAACCTGCCATGATTAAGACATCAAGGCAACGAAACAACCTTTGGCTAAGTGGATAGCATGACACAGAAGAGCTAACTCGTCAGGCCAGGGGACTCTGCAGTCTATTTACACCTACAGGCCAGTGGCCACTATTTCAATGATAAGGATGTACGCATCCTGGACAGGGAGAAACGCTGGTTTGAGCGCACAGTCCATGTACTGACCTATCCATCCATCTTCTTCCGCTTATCCAAGGCCAGGTTGCAGGGGGAGCAGCCTAAGCAGAGAAACCCAGACCTCCCTCTCCCCAACACCAAGGTGTTTCCAGGCCAGCTGAGAGATATAACCTCTCCAGTATGTCCTGGGTCTGCCCCAGGACTTCCTCCCAGTGGGACATGCCCAGAACACCTCATTCAGGAGGCATCCTTTTAAGATGCCCGAACCACCTCAACTGGCTCCTAACGATGTGGTGGAGTAGTGCCTCTACTCTGTTCCATTCCCGGATGGCCGAACTCCTCACCCTCTCTAAGGGAAGGGTTAGGCTACCCTTTGGAGAAAGCTAATTTTCACTGCTTTTATCCACAATCTCTTTCTTTTGGTCACTACTCAAGGCTCCTGACAACAGGTGATGGCAGGGACGTAGACTGACCAGTAAATTGAGAACTTTGCTTTTATTCTCAACCTCCTTTTCACTTCGACTGACCAGTACAGTGCCCATATCACTGTAGCCACAGCAACAATCGGTCTGTCGATCTCCCGTCCTCTCACTTGTGAAAAGAACCCAAGATACTGCCGCAAGTGGAGGAGTTAAAGTAACTGGTCACTGACCAGGAGTGGGCACTCCACCCTTTTTCCGGCCGAGGACCATGGCTTCAGACTTGGAGTGCTGATTCTCATTCCTGTGCGTCACACTTGGGTGCAAACCACTCCAGTGTGAGCTGGAGGCCACCACAAGATGCCAAGGCAGCCCTGGCAGAGTCCAAAACTCACTGGGGTCTGACTTATTGCCAGTTATGTGGGCCAAGTCCTTCAGGAACTCAGGGCGAACCCTATCCACCACAAGGGCCCTGCCACCAAGGAATTGATAATATGCCTCAGTGACCTCACATATATTGCACAGAAGTCCAATAAGAGAACACCACTCGGATTCAGATCTGGTAGGTCGTTCTTCCCAGTCACTCCCCTCCAGTTCTCACCGTCGTTACCCACGTCAGCATTCAAGTCTCCCAGTAAAAAGAAAGAGTCTCCAGGTGGAGCACCCTCAAACACTCCAACCCAGGGACTCCAAAGAAGGCTTGGTACTCTGAACTGTCGTTCAGCGCATAGGAGCAGAAAATAGTCAAGACCTGTTCCCCAACCAGAAGGTGCAGGGAACAAACCCTCTCACCCACTGGGAAAAACCCCACTGTACAAGCAGCAAGCCGAGTGGATGCTAAGATACCCACCCCAGGCCGCCGCCTCTCACCAAGGGCAACTCCCGACTGAGAAAGAGTCCGGGCCCTTTCCACGAGATTGGTTCTGGAGCCTAAGCTGTGCGTGCGCTTAGGTGAGCCTGACCTTATCCAGCCAGTACCTCTCAACCTCACACACTAGCTGAGGCTCCTTCCCCACCAGAGAGGACACGTTCCATGGTTCCACGGTTTATAAGGTTGGGGAAACCTGCATTCAGCTCAGATTGAAAAAGTCATTTGAGTGATGAAACGATTCCTCCACTGAAAACGCTACATCCAGATGAACAGAATCAACTTTTTGGGATTTCTTTACCTGGATGATTGAGCATGCATCAAGACTTATTTCTCTTTTTTTTAATAGAACCCCACCCCCTTTTTAAATCTGTCCTGCCCAGCAGATTTAGCAAGCAGAATCGTGAACTGAATGCACTGATGTGGCAAACACTTTTAACACTCTATTGACTCCTCTAGTTTTTTTTAAAAAACTGATCATTCTGTACCATCAGTTAATTATGCTTTGCACATACATAGGTTTAGAAGACATACACAGGGCTGGATATGACAAACAATTTAATAATTTAACATGAAACTTACACCAAACAGCTGAGGTCAGCCAGGTCATCAATAAAGTCAAACAGCTGGCTGATATCGTATGTTATCGACGGACTGTTGGGGTTCATTCTCTTTAAATGCTCCTCATACATCTTGCATACACCTGCCAGGGGAAAATATGCTATGTTACACTCACAATGAGTAAATATTTCCATATTCACTTGACAATGTTTTGATTTCTGATGCAAATAAGGAATACCTTACAAAATAAATACCTGAAAAGTCTATGATTAGAAATACTGCAGTAAAAATAATAAGATAACAGATTAATTCCTTCCTAAAGTCAAAGAAAGATAACTGTGCTACTAGAAACAGGAGATTATTACCATATGAAATGCTTATTTGACAATTACTTGTCAAATGACCAGAGTTTACTGGACAGTTTTAGTTGAACTGCCTGACCACTACAACCAAAAGTTTTCTCATGTAAGTAAACACAAGTTGCATACATGTCGGGTGAAAATAACCAGTTTCCCTTAATATTTTAACACTACAGACTCAAGATAGATAGGAAATATCATGGAAACTTCACTAAGTTTGACTAAAATTCCAGGTGGATGCACGTAAGCTGTGTACATGTAAACAATGAAAGCCTGGAAGTGTGGAGTGGAATTACATATCACTGAAAGAAAAGGCAATACACAAAAGAACAAAGAACCACCAGCTTACCTTCCATACACTCATTGACTGACTCATAATCAGCGTAGGTCCTTCCCTCCGGCCTCTTGGTGGGCTGTACCAGAAGTATGGTGTGAGACTGAAAAACAAAATACTTATTGTTAGTCTGATAATACAAGTCACCTTCTCTATTCAACATCTTCAAATGTCTTTTTTGTTAGTTTGTGGGGGTGTACTTCTGTGTGAATATAGAATCTGAGGCAAAAACAGTTTATAGTTCTAAGAAGCACGAAAGTCAATATTTGCTCTGACCATCTTAGGCTTCTTGTCATGTCTTTGGGAATAGCTCTGCAGGGCTCTTTGAAGGAGATTCAACGCCATTGTTTGGATGTTGGCTACTTTTTTTTCCCCAATCCATGTCAACATGATACAACAATGCTTCAGTAATAATGAGGCCTGGGCTCTGGGGAGGCCAATCCATGACTGATAGTGTTCTACAGTGTGTTCTTCTACCCAGGTATGCTTTTACTGTATTGCTTGTGTTTTTTTGGTGGTGGTCAGAGGGCCCGGTGGCGCCAGTGTCCGGCAGCCTCGCCTCTGTCAGTGCGCCCCAGGGTGGCTGTGGTTACAATGTAGCTGTCATCACCAGTGTGTGAATGGGTGGATGACTGGATATGTAAAGCGCTTTGGGGTCCTTAGGGACTAGTAAAGCGCTATATAAATACAAGCCATTTACCATTTACCATTTTGGGTCATTGTCATGCTGAAAAATTAAGGTGTTGCCAATCAGATGCACTGCTGATGGTTTTACGTAGTAGATCAACATCTGTGCTAATTGTGTTCATAATTCTATCAAATTGGACAAATTTCTCAATTGTATTGGCTGAAATGCAGCCCCAAACTGCAAAACACTCACTGTGGTCACTTTCTCCTGAGTCCTCCTCATATTAATGATAATTTGTACAAAAAGCGTCAAATTTTCTTCATAAGACCTGTTCCCACTGATTTTCAGTCCAGGTTTTGTATAATATGGAATACCTCAGCCTTTTCTTCCTGTTTACCCATCTTAAGAATAGCTTCTTATTACCCACCCTTCCACTGAGACCACTTCTGATGAACCCAGTGAACAGTAGATGGAACAACTAAAGGGTCAAATGCATCTCTCAGATCCTGTGTCGGGTCTTTGTTGGATTTATTTATTTATTTGCTATTTCTTAAGGATATAACTTTCAGATATCTGGTCTGAAAGTTATATCCTACCACTTATTTTGTCAGGTTTCCTCAATTATCTTCCATGCACTCTGCACGGCATGCTACGATATGCCAAGTTTTCAGCTACTAACTCTTTGTAGTCATCTTGATGGTGCAAAATTACTATTTTAACCCTGTGTGAGACTGGAGGACTGCTGCTCAAGAACCCCTTAAAAATAGTACAGAAATTTCTGGCTGACTGGAAGCAAAACATAATTAAATGAGGAGTGGCTTAAGACTTTTGCACAGTTCTGTCACTTACGTTACTAATTTTCAAACATTTTTACTTTTATTTAATGTAATTGTCTTTCAATATAAGGCACATTGAGTATTAAATAAATAACTACATTACATTCAACAAATACATTCCATCTGTTATAATCAAGTTATTACACATGGTATATTAAAATGCAATATTTTGGTTTTGTTTGTAAAAACTACGCAATTTTAGAATCTTATCTGGCTCATTAACCTAGAATGACTAATTCTCATGAAAATTTAGGACTGATGGAGGAATATTAAGAACAGTGGACATTTTTGGGGGCCAACCACAACAACAATTTAAAAAATTGACAAAAATGTTTCAAAATCCAAACGGCCCATTTTGAAATGAATTATAAACAAATAGACCTACACCTAAGCCTACAGCAAACTATTCGTCTAAGTGCTAAGTAAAACTATCTTTAGGCGATAAGCAAGTGGCAAAAAACTGTTAATAAAAGTAATTAAAATAATATTTTCGCCTCAGGCTGCTAGTCTCTCAGTCGTGAATGTGCTTCATGTCTTCAGAGGTTTGTTGGAGCCAAACGCCCACTCATGCTAACTATGCGTTACAAATCGTTTTTACAACAAACCCGGCTCTGCTGAAATGACCCGCTAAAACCGACGCACTGCTTTTGCTCTTCGTACAAATCATTCCTGCAAACAGTGCATCAAAACGTACTAACCATGTTTTCTGACGCTTTTGAGTAGCTCTCTGCAGATTTTCTTAGCTCCTTGCGTCGTCTCCTCTGTTACCCGGAAGAACAACCAGCTGAGAACAAAATGCGCTATTTTAATTCAAGCTATTTGTTTCGGTTTCTTATTACTGCTTCGGTATGGCGATAAAAGCTAACATTTCATCCTTAGAATTTATTTAATTCGACGAGGTTGGCAAAACAATAAAGACTACAAACAAATGTCGAACTGTTTTTTGATCCTGAACATTCGCTGACTCTACAGGAAGTAGTTTGCAGCAGCGGCCGGATGTATTGCGAGAACACAGGAACAACAAAGAGGAGAAAGCACCCGGGTTTAAACCCGACTCGAGAACCCCCAAATTAAGAAAATTATCTTGCGTTCATAGCAGGTAAGTGTCTTTCTTTTAAGGGACCTTTTCAGGAACCATTTGAAATTTGGGTTACGTAACTTACCCAGCGCTAACCACCCGCAGCGGTCGCAGCCTGCTCTATCGTTATTACATTATTGGCTATCGTTAACTAGCCATTTTAGCGAATCTCCAATTAAAAATGACCTCTGTGAGTAGTTATTACAGCTAGATAATCAACGTTACAGCTTACTGGTTTCTCTCTGATAGGCATGTAAAGTCAGCAAGAAGAAGGGATCAAATAATACAGATTTTGGATTTCCCGGCGTGTAATCAGCAGCGTGAACGTTACATTCCCATAGATGTTTTATTTTTATTTTTATGGCCTTCAAAGATATCTTCAAGTCTTCAAGTACAGGTTCAAATACAATTCTCACGAGTCTCTGTATACACAAGAAGAGTTACTAATCAGCGTAATCATTCTTCTTGTATACAATGGCTGTGAAGTGAACACTGCCCTTGTCTGATCTCCTCCCCCCAAAATGTGTGTGTACATACACACGCATTTTGTATATATTGATTGATTGAAGTTCGACCAAGGCTAATTTGTGGCTCAAATGTTACCTTGACATATCGTGTTGTTATCTCTTAAAACTGAAGTCTTATCAAAATCTATTTCCTCCTTATTTTACAATAAGAAAGGCCTCTCTGTGGAAAGATAGACACATCGACATAATTCAGCACAATCAAGGTTGTTATTTAAGCCTGATATTTAAGTTTATCCTAGTATTTAAAATGTTTTAATTAAAATGGAATGACTGATAAGTCTTCGAAACGATTTCACAGGTAATATTTTTGAGAAATAACTGGAACTGTTTAAAATATGAGAAGAATGTATTTTTAAAAAAAGTGTGAAATTGTCTTTTAAAATGATTTCCAACTCTGCGAAACACTGAATTCCACCACTAAGTAAATTCTTACCACTTAATTAGTGCTACTTTAGTATTTTATATGGGTCTTAGGTTTTTTAACATGCATTTTTAGGTTGGCTTTTAACATTTTTACAGTGGCCGGTAGACAGGAAAGTAGTTAAGATGAGCAGCAAAGGGCTGTGGATCTGAATCAAACCTGGGCCGCTGCGGCATATGGTTGCATGTTCATGCTGTGAGCTAACCGACACCCATATTGGTCTTGTGTTTTGTAACAACATGCACACGCAATGGAACTCTGATATTCACTGATATTTAACATGTTTTCTGATTAATTTACTTTTGTCACTGTCCCTTTCATTTCACATAACAAATTTGCCTAATCTAGTTTATAATCTGCACAAAACATGACTCTCTCTGTCTTTACACGCTTGATTTATTCCTGTGTTGGTGGTTATATGTTCTATTGACCCACTTCTCTTTCATCAGGGTTGAAAAGTTCCAGTTTGCATGTAAGGACAAGAGTCCACCGAGCCAACAATGGCGAACAATGCAGAGGATATCGAAAACAATATGGTCAGTATGAAATAAAGTTTCACAGTGCCTCTAATGCTATATCCGTCTATTTTAATGTAGTGATTAATGATTGCCACACAAGAGTCTCAGTAAGAGGGAAGTAAAGTTTCGTAGTCATTTTGTAACGTCATGTGCTGTTGAGTAGTTTTAATTGAATCATTTAATTTGGTCTCTGTTACAGTAAATTGTCCAGGACAGGGTGATTATATTCTGATAAGGAGCAGTGTGTTTCAGCTGACAGCACAACCATTAACCTTTAAATCATACATAGAAGCTTTAGGAACAAGTTGGCTTTGTGCTCTGAAGTTTGCTGTTACTGTAAACAAAGGCATTTCCTCCTTCGTGGAGTGAATAACTCAAAGTCCCTTTTTACTGTCATAGTGCACTTAACAGTGCTTAGCCTTGTGCTTTACAACAGTTGAACTCATACACTGCATCTATATTTCAGCTAAGGGAACACTTTGTTTCTGTTTTCCAGCCAGATTTGTCAGAGTGACAAGTCTGGCTAGGAAGGGCGTGCTGTTACAGTATCACTACATACCTGGTTAATTTATTCAGAAAAGCAGTCTGTATCTCTTTTGTCCTTGAGACCAATATTGGCCTAATTCCCAGGACTGAGACACAAAGCAGCATACCACACAGCGAGGTCATTTTTGCACAGCAGCCTGTTTAAAAGCTCTGGCAGCTTTCACTACTCGGATCTCTGGAGACGCCTCCTGTCTTCATTTCTGTGTACCTGGTACAATTGCTTCATGTCTAGGCTGCCGCATGTCTCGACTCGTCTGGCAGCCTGACAGTTTTAGTTCACACAGTCTCCTTGAGTTGCGTCCTTATTTTGTCCTGACGGGACAGATCCTCAGGGTGAGTGGGAACAAGCACGCTGCTGTTATCCTTGGAGCAAGAGAGGCGGTGAGCCAGTCAAGTGCACATATGGATCATCTGATAACATTTAGTTTTAATCTTTCACATTTTGGTGTGCATTTGTTTTCAATTTAAGCAAATAAAGTGGCTAAATGAAAACATTTAATTTGCCAATATAAAGAAGAAACTACTTTTGGCTGCTTCTGTAATCATAAGGTGGTCACCACAGCGTTCCTGGCACAACCCTAAGGGGATTTGTGTCTCCTCCTGTGATTGATCTGGGGATCTTTCATTTGTTAGGCAAATGTGTACACCACTAGACATTTGTGTGGCAAAATCTTAGTTCAGAGATTTCATTATGTATGTGTAAGATACATTTTTTAACTCTATCATAGTAGGTAGGGGCTGATAAAACTGTCTGAGGGAATTTTATTTAGTAACGGGAGGCATAACTGTGTGTGTGTGTGTGGTTGTTTGTTTGTTTGTTTTTCACACATTTCAAATATGGCTCTTTTCCTGCATCAGCAGAACCAACAGGAGGCTAACAGATCCCCAGATTCCACCCAGAAACCACAAGAAACTGGTGTGCCCAGAGCGCGGTCCAGAGGTGGTTCAGCAGCTGGTGCTGGAGCTGGAACTGGAGGAGGAGGTGATAGTGGCGGTGGAGGAGGTGGCAATGGCACCAGCCCGGAGCAGAATGGGCAGCCCCCCGCTGCTCCCGCTCCAAGAGTGGTGGAAAGAGAGGAGGAGGAGGATGAGGAGGAGCTGACTTTGAAATACGGGGCCAAGCATGTCATCATGCTTTTTGTCCCAGTGACGCTTTGCATGGTGGTCGTCGTGGCAACCATAAAATCTGTCAGCTTCTACACCCAGAATGACGGGCAGAGATTGTAAGTGCTGTGACCCATTTCACACTGATTGTAATAGGGAAATGAGATGATCCAAGGCTCACATTAGAGCCTCTGTTTGAATGACATGCAGTGCAGGTCAGGAGAACTGCCACTAGGTATAGATAATGTAATGTGCTTGTGTCCATGCTTTGGGCATGTAGATAGTAATACGTGTAGCTTTGTTAATGCTTAAGATCTTTATAGAGAGCCTGAATTTGGCTCAAACCACAGAAAGATAATCTTACATATCTTTAGTTTTTCTGAAGACTTTAATGCCCCTGAATCATCTGCTCCAAAACTGTACTGTGTGTGTGTGTGTGTGTGTGTGTGTGTGTGTGTGTTTAATCTGTCACTTCAGGATCTACACACCATTCCCTGAAGACACAGACACAGTAGGACAGAGAGCCCTCAACTCCATTCTGAATGCCACCATCATGATCACTGTAATCATCGTTATGACTTTGGTGCTGGTGATGTTATACAAGTACCGCTGCTACAAGGTACAGATTAACACCTCTAACATCTTGCTGCACCACGTATATAGTCTTATTAGCTGCACCCTAGAGTGTAAAAACACTTAATGTTTCAAGGCTTTTTTACAGGATGTGTTTAAACTTGTTAAAGTTGGAAAGACATAGCTTCACTAGGAACATAGTGTTCGTGATAATTTGTTATTTAGCTGTACGGCTTAGATAAAAAAAACAACAAAAAAAACCAATAAAAAAAAAATACAGAAATCTCCTGTGGAAAAGCGCCAAACACAAAACATGTTTTAAGTTGTCTGTCAGTTGGTGTAGATCCCCAGTCAAGTTGTAGAAATATGATTTCAGGAACTGTGACTGTGTTAGAAACAAAATAAAGTTGGTAAGGTGTGGCTCTAAATCACTGCTTCCTTTATCAAAGCTCCTTCATTATTATTGAAAGGTTTAGTTTTTAATCAATACTTGACTTTTGCATTCATAATTTTTGTTGAATTAGCAGAGAGTAGTTATAAGAAACAGACACCATTGTTTTCCCTTTCCATTGCTAGAATGCACAGCATGATGGATACATTTACACATTGAGTTGGAGACTAAAATAAAAAATACAGGGATTAAGTGTGATGAAATATATAGCAATTTAATCATGGAGTGATCACAAATACAAATACAGCTCTCATTGATGCTGTTTTCTGCTTGTCCATTGTGTTTCCTGTGGTCTACCTTGTATTAAACATGGCTTTGCAACATATATAAAAGTAAACCGTCTGAGCTAAAAGCACAGGCTTCAGACTGCTGCAAACACAGATCAATTTTTGCTATTCTTGGGCTGTATGTGATGACAATAATACAACATCTCTCATACGGTCATCTCATGAACACTGCTCTGTGACCACAGAAGCCCCACCCACAAACCTTCTGCTGGCAAAGCAAATGCAGCTATACTACAGGATAAGTGGTAAGAACATGGACTGGAGTACATCAGAGAACCAACTCCCATTACATGAGATTTTTAGGGTGGAAGAAATGGTAGCAGAAATTGAGTTGAATGAGTGTTGGAGAAAATGTGAGCCACATATTAGTGACCATAATCACATATTTTGGTCATACCCTGAAGTAAAAATGTTTCAGGAGGAGAGATTAAAGAGACTCAAATTTTCATTAAAGACCTAAAGGCGAC